GTAAATTCGCCTAAATTTCAATGAAATAAAGAGTGAGAAATTTTGTTCGAAATCATATTAAATCTCCATCTAAATAATTGTAAGAAAAAATTCGGCTCTTTTTTTAATTTAAAATAAATGACCGAAAATTTTTGCATGGATGACGATGACTTTTAATGGCCTCTCTTTACTACTTTTATATTTTATTTTATTTATCAACATTGTATTATTGTCTTAATTAATTAAAGATATCATTTATTAAGCAATTAAAATACTTTCTAATGCAATTAATTCATTTGATTATATAACAATGAGAAGAGAAATAGGAATTCATTTCTTTTGTTTTTGATATATCTTTGCAAAGGCATTATCAATAACTGTGTGTGCAATTGTAATAAAATGATATTAATTAAGATAATTGATAATGAAATGATATTAAATAAAATGGTTGACAATAAAATGATATTAATTAAATTGATTAGTAATAAAATAGCATTAATTTAACTAGATAATAAGTAATAAAATGACATCAATTAATTGATTAGCAATAAAATGATATTATTGATTAAACTATATTAATTAAATTTTAATTACATTAATTAAAATAATGCTGAAATATTTTTGCAACTTTTTTTTGTGAAATACACATGGAATGCCAAACGATCACAATATTGATTAACAATCAGTTCAAAATGTATGTTTAACAAAAAAATTTTCCCTTTCAATGAATTATTAATCATTAAATTTAAAATGTACCTTTTGAAAAAAAAATTTTACCTTAAAATGGATTATCAATCATTTAAAATGTATAACAAAAAACAAAGAAAAGGAAAATCGTTTGATTAAAACAATGTTGGAATATCCAAACAATTAGTTTTACGACTATAGAATTAATTTCATTAATAATTTCTTTTTGATTTCAGTTTTCATTAATTTCATTAATAGTTTTTCTTAATTTCAGTTTTCATTACTAATTTCTTTGTAATTTCAGTTTTCATTAACTTCATTATTAATTTATTATTAATTTCAATTTTCATTAATTTCATTAATAATTCCTTTTCAGTTTCAGTTTTCATTAATTTCATTAATAATTCCTTATTAATTTCAGTTTTCATTAATTTCACTAATTATAACATGAAGAAAAAAAAAGGAAAATAAAATGTAAAATACTTTAAGAGTTTTTGATAATTCTCAAAAACTCATAATTCTTTGTTAACAAACAGGTTTGACATAAATTTACTTCCATTGTTTGAATGAGATGTAATTAAAAAGTTGGTAATTATTTGTTGGTCAGCAAAATCGTTCATTTCATCTTTCAAAGTCAATATTTACTCCGCTAATTTTATTTTTCAAATTCTTCGAAAGGTTTTTCTTTCCTTTCATTTCGATAAATTTCAATTCTTTTATTTCATATTTTGACAATTTGCTCCCATCCGATCGATATTAATATATATATATATATGTATTCCATAATACATTAAAATTCGTTTATAATTTTTATAAATCAATGCAATGATATAAATTATCCCTTTTTCATTATCATATCAGGTTTTTATTGCTGCGAACAATTCATGTTAATCAGTTCTATTGTAAAATTTTCGAATAGCAAAATGATTCTATGACGTGTCGGAAAGAGTTGAAAATTTTTATTGTTTAAAATTTAAATAAAATAAAATTATAAAGTTGCATTAATTTTTGAATTTAAACATTTAAATAAAAGAATGATTAAAGAATATAAGAAATTAAATGAATGAATTATCATTGATAAGGAAAACTTTTGAAAATTCAATATTTTGTAAAATTCAAAAAAGGAAAAGAAATTCGATAATTAAAATTCATTATTAGAATGAAAGAATTATTGATAATGAAATTTCAATAATTCTATTATTTATAAAGTATGATTGAAAAGATATATTGATAAAAAATTATCATTTTCTCTTTCATATGATATGCTAATTAATTAATTAAATTCTTTTTTTTAAACATATATAATCTGTAAATAAATTAATGCAAATTATATATTCTATTAATTTTCTAAGATTTTCTGTCTTTCAAAAATCTTTTGAAATTATTTCGAATGAAAGTAAGAGAAATTTTCAACAATTTATGAATGAACATTTCAACAATACATATATATTTGTGTAGTGCGTTGTTCGTTTGTTTATTGTCGCCACATTTTCATTCAATTATTTATTTTTTAAATTTTTGATTTGTCAGTTTAGAAAAGTAAGAGGGAAAATTAAAGAGAGAGAGAGAGAGAGAGAAAGGGAGAAAGAGAGAAATTCACTTCTCAAATTTACTCTTTATTTGATGTAAAATACTGTTACTATTAGAGGTAATATAATAAGTGGAATTACCGGCAGAAAAATAAGTATCAGCAGCATATATTCTAAATTTTAAAAAAGGAATTTGAATCACTGCTTGGCAAATTATAAAATAATTAATAATAATAATGATGTGCGAAGCTGTAATTGATCATAATAAATGAGCAAATTTAAAATTGCTAAAATTGATTTAATATATTATTAATGAAAACTGTAATCATCATTATGATTATTTTCATGGCAGTCAATTAATTTTAATTGTTATTATAGTTAAATGAAATTCTGCTAAAATGCTTGTGATAAGGAATTTTCAATTTTGTTTAGGACTTGAAATTAATTTTTACTCTCTTAGAATTGCAATTTAAAAGTTTAAGCATTCATTTTTGTCGGTGAATTCAATTGATAGATAGGAGTTAGACAAGTGATAAAAGATGAATAGAAATTGATAAGGGATAACAGAAGTGGTAAGAAAAAGTTAATGTGAAAAATGACGGAAAAAATGAAAAAGTGCGAACCACTACGAAATGATAGCAGTCTTTTATATCGAATAAGAAATGCCTGAATTTTAAAATTTCACTACTTTTCAATCCATCCATAATCTGAAACAGATTTAAGTGTTAGTATATTAATTTGAATATTAGTGTATCAATAAATTTTCTTCATCGATTCACTTAACATTATCCCTGAATTATTTATATTATCATTATTATCATAATTACTAAAGCTAACAGCGAATATTTAAATCTTTCAAACTTTTAAAATAATAATTTCCAATTCTATTCAATATATTTTGTTACAAACTATTATTGTTGATAATACTATTAGTAATTATTGTTTGCATACATAACAATAATATTATTATCGTTTACTATCACTACAATAAAAATTATTGCTAATGTTATTGTTTGAATGATTTAAATTCATATTTTAACATTTTTATCGATTGATAAAATTATTTATTCATTGACAAAATTATTGGTAAGATTGATAAAATTATTTATTATTAATACTATCATGTAAAGGCAAAAATTATCAACACTATTATTGCCATTAGCATTACCAAAATTTAGAAATTGATAAGTTGCTGCAATAACACTACCATAAACTAAAACAATATATCATTACCATTATATCATTACCAAAATATATCATTACCAATATATCTAGCATATATGTCATTACCAATATATCTAGCAATCAAAATTATAATTTTCTGCCAATCTTATTAATCATCAATAAAATATTTACCATATTGATGCTATCACAAATGATGATCATTATCACTATCATTACTATTATTATTTCATTACTATTATCCATTACTATTATTATTCCCATCAGTACGACGTGAAAGTTTTGCAAAACCTATCAATTATCAAAAAATACATATAATACGATTATTCTTCCATACTCTTATTAATCAGTAAATTTTTTTCTTTTCTGAATAAATCTTCTTATCTCTTCCATCTTCCATACAACAATCATTTCTTGTAATTAGTGATAATTAATTATAGTAATAACAATTTTGGTGTTTATCAAATTCCAAAAAAAAGAAATTGGCAAAAGTTTTTTTAAAAAGAACAATATAATTTGAACTTTTAAAAATTAAATTATTTTACATTTTTCCACTACTCATATTGTAAATTTCAATTAACCTTTTTAAAAAAGTTTTTTGTTTTTGATCATTTCGATTCATTATAATTTCCATGTAATTGCAGTAGTATGTGAGAAAAAGTTGTCAATAAAACAAGTTTAGCAGAGACAGCAGATATAGTAATAAAAAGTTCCTCCCATCAATCAACAAAATTTGAATTTAAATTTATCCAAGCAGAGGGTGTTCCGACCATTCGTTCCGTTCGTTCCGTTCGTTCCGTTGCAAAATTCTTTTTCCGTTTGTTCGTTGCATTTCAACTACTCTAAAAATTATAATTATTGCAGATGGTTCTAACAATCAATTCGTTGCAAAATAAAAAAAATATCGGTAATTTACCTACAATTCTTTTCTTTTGTTTATATTAATTAAATTATTTGTAAGTGAAATTTTAAGAAAATGAATGATAATATGATTTAAGAAATTAAATGAATGTTAATTAATATAATAAATATAATATAATTTTAATAAATATATACAATAGAATTTAATGCAAAAAAAAGTTTCAAATTTCACTGTTAATTTTCTTTTTGAAAAAACAATTAATATTTACCAAAATGATGTATTAGTAATGTTTGCTCAAATATCTTTCATTCAACTCGACTTATTGCAAAAGTAAGACATTTCATTTATTTCATTCGTTTTTAAAATTTGAATAAATTAGTCAAATCTGCAAAATTATAGCCTAACAAATTTAAAACAAACAATTCACTATTATTGATATGTTGTGATATTTTTTTAGCTAATATTAGCATTTTATATTTAGCTAATTTAACGCATAATTAGTACAGTATTTTATATTTAGCTATTTTAATGCATAATTATTAATTGGAAATTATTAAAATATTTCACATTTTATTTGTTACATTTAGCACGTAGAAAGTTAGTAACTGGATCATACAATTAGTTAATTATGAAATTGTGTCATTATTTTATTCTGATTCTGATAGTAATCTCTCCCATCAATCAATTCCGATTTTCATCTTTTAAAATTATTTCAAATAGTCTGACACCCAATGATAATAAATTGCTTAGACCATCTTCAAATGAATAAGATCAAAGAAGAAGAAGGAAATGGTTAATAATAAAATTATCTGTAAATTATAATTTTATAAATTTGAGTTGTATTGGTTACCGGTGCATCGGGCTATATAGCATTGCATTGCGTCCAACAACTTCTAGAAAATGGATATACGGTGAGAGGTACGGTACGAAATTTACAAAATTCATCTAAGGTTAGTTAATTTCTATTTTTTTCGATCTTTTTAAAAGAAAATGTAAAATTTTAAGAATTAGGAATAATTTAGCAATTATCAATTAGTGAAAATATTTTGAGGAGTATTTATTAATTGGAATATATTATAATAATTAGTATTTGATATATTAATTAAGTAATTTATATCTGTGTTAGAAATTTTTCTGAAAGAGAAAAGCTTATTATATATAACAATTATATATTAACGAATTTCGAAATGTATATGAAATTGGAAAATTTTAAATTCCAACTTTTGATTGTTTAGAATAGTTTCTATGAGTTTTGTATAACTTATTTATCATATTGATTTCAAATCAAAACATAATTTATTAACTAAATTTGTTGGAGAATAAATGTATGAAAATTTTGCTATAATAATAATTAGTGATAATGTTAGATAACATGTGATAATTATAGTGTTAAAAGATGATTGTCAAAAATTTAATGATAAATGGTAATGGAAGAAGATGGTTCTTAAATTTTTGCTAATATTATAGATTAGTCCATTACGTGATCTGAAGTATAGTTCGGAAAGATTGGAATTGGTGGAAGCTGATCTTGAATGTTCAGATGATTGGCCTAGGTGACAAAATTTTTATGAATTTTTTTGTCAAATTTTCTGCAACTTCCTAATGCTATAGATTTGTATAAATAATAAATAGTTAAATAGTTTTATGTTTGAATAATTAGCATAAACTTTTTATTCCATTTTAAAATTTTAGAGCAGTTGAAGGTTGTACCTATATTATGCATATTGCATCACCCTGGCCTATTGTGGCTGATGAAACAATTATAAAAACGGCCAGGGATGGTACTTTAAATGTATTAAAAGCCGCTGCTCGATGTAGTACCATCCAGAAAATTGTATTAACAAGTAGTTCATCTGCTATAAACGGTAATATTTCGTGTTGAATAAAATAACAATGATTTAAAATGAAATATAATAATGGAATATGAATACTTAAAAGTAAATTAAGTCCAATTATTATCACACTTATGTATATTTCATTATTGTTTTAATTTTTTCAAAAATTTTACTTGTTTTATTAATATTAATTTTTCTGTTTAATAGATGGCTATAAAACTGATGCACGAATTTTTGATGAAAGTTGTTGGGGTGATTTGAATAGTGGACGAATTGAAAATTATGGTCGTTCGAAAGTAATTGCCGAAAAAGCTGCGTGGGATTTTTGGAAATCACTACCAGGTTATTTGATTAATTAAATTTAAATTATTTTCAAATTTTGAATGATTGAAAAAGTTAAAAATTTTTTAAATTGATGCGCTATATTTTTTGGAATCAATTTTAAAGTGACAAATATTTTTGTCTAATTAAATAATTATCTTTTATTTTTGTATTTGAGAAGAGTCACGATTTCAATTAACTGTTCTAAATCCGTCATTTGTTGTTGGTCCGGTACTATCGGATCAGAGACATGGAAGCGCTAGAGTTTGTCATTTATTTATATTTCAAATTATTCATTCTATTTTATTTTTCATTTCTTATCTAAAATATAATCATTTTAATCAAAATATAATTTATAACTTAATTTTTCAAACTTCACAATAATTTTATAAATTAATTTAAACAAAAATTTAAATATATTTTAACTATTTGATCTACTTACAATTACAATTTACAGTTTAAAAATCGAATATACTATAAAATTATTTTAGATAATTAGACGAATGATGGATTATCATACTTTTCCCGCAGCACCAAAAGTTTCACTTGGCATGGTTGATGTACGCGATGTTGCACGAGCACATATACGAGCAATGGAATGCGCAAATTGTAACGGTGAACGAATTCTGATTACTTCAACACCTTCAGTTTGGTTTTCAGAATTAACTCATTGGCTCTATGAGGAATTCAGAAATCAAGATAAGTAAATTTGATGAACAATTTTTAATCATTCAAATAAATATTTAAGCGTATTAAGAATTTCCTCGTTCAGAAAGACTAAAATAGTGTTTTTGTTCATTTATATAAAAAACATCAAAAAGATTTCCGAATGAAATTCTAATAAAAATTTTATTAGCACTAAAATTTCAGGTTTTCTAATTTCGTTAATGACAACACCAAAATGGTTAGCAAAGTTATACGCTAAAGTAACGTGTGATCCACATTTTGAAGCGGTAAAATATCGTTTTGGACCAGAATTACGTTTTAATAATACAAAGGTAAAAAAATTAAAAATTAGAAAAAACAATTTAACATATTAGAAAGTTACCTTTTTTCCTTCGTAATGAAATTAAGCTGTCAATAATTGGAAGATTTGTTTTTTTTCTTCGTTATCATTTAAATTTCAATAAATTTAGAAATTTGAAATTTTACAAATGAAACGCTTTTTTATTGCAAATTTCAAATTTTAATTAAATGAATGCGACAAAAATTTTTTAAGCTAATTTTTAATTACTTTTTACCTTTTCTTTTGATAAAATAATTTTGCATATCAGATTTATCGTTTTTACGAAATGATAATTTTATTTTCATAAAATTTTAAGTTTAACAGAAAAATTTCAATTATCCTTTGTTTTTTTGCTTCTTCCAGTCAAAGCAACTTCTTCAAATGGAATATATGCCAATCAAGAAATCAGTGATTGATATGGTTTACAGTATGTTGGATTATGGCATCATTGTTAAAAAGAAAAATTTGGAAAAAAAGAAAAATGGTGATTGTAAAATTAACATTACTGATTATCCAACTACTGATAATATTAATTTGGCTGACAAAATTTATTAAAGTGGAAAAAGAAGAAAGTATATCAGTTTTTTTGCTTAGATTAGAATGAAAAAAAATGCTAAAAACTAAGCTTTAAAATAAGCCATATTTAAGGTTAAAGATTATATATACATAACTTTATGTGTAACTTTACTTAACTTCTTAATTAATTCAGTTAGCTTTTGAAATTTAGCCTGAGGGTATTGAAATATATCAGATAGCCTAAATGATGGTTTTCGATTCAAAAAATAATGCCAATATTAATAACAGACGAAGAATTGAGACTGTTAACGGAACTAAATGACGATATCCATTGGAATAAATAATGTCCAATAGCCAATAATGATTATTAATATTACAATTAGATAGAAAATAACAATAAGTGTTCATATGAACTTTCTATCACCTTATCATATTAAAATTATAATTTTAATTTTACCTTATTTACTTTCACACTGCCATAGAACTGCCGCACACTCTTTTTTAACTTTCAATCAGGAAGCTTAAATGAATTGGAAAATTTATGGAATATCTATTGATCCTAAAGAAATGAAATAATTGTATTTTCAAAATTGTTTTCGAATATATGATGCGAAGACATAATATGATTAAACATTAATAAAAATCACGATAATAGTAACAAAACATCGATAATAAATATTGCTACAACAATAACAGCAAAAATAACAATAAAACAACAACAACAATAACAGTAACAATAACCATTCTAACAATTTAAATTATATTATAAAATTTTTATATTATTCTTACTACTTCTAGATTTAATTGTGGTGATAAAAATTATGTTTATTTATTTGTTTATTATTTTCTATTTAATATATAAATGAACGATAGGCTTAAAATTCATATTCATATTGATTGTTTTAAAACAATCAGAAAAGTAAATATGATTTCATTACTTTGTCGCATAATTTGTGTACAGCTATTTACCAGTTTTTCATTTTCATCCTTTTCGAAATGGTTCGAAAAAATTTTTAGTTCTTTTTTTAACTTATAAATTTTTTTTAATTTAATTTATTTTGTATAATAATTGATTAACAATTATTATACTATAAAATTAAAACCTTTGTAACAATTAGCAATAAAAAATAATTGTGATAAGAAATTATACTTTATGATTTGAGGAGAAGAAAAATTTTATATTTATATTGCATACACACGCATTACACATACAAACATTAACAAACTTATCACATGTGATAATCCTTTTGATTATGATAATTCCTAAATTGTTGAAACAATGCCTTATCGTATCAATGGCTTTTTTCTATAACAGAAAGTGCAAATCTTTCAAAAGAAATATTTAAAATTACATCATTCCATTTTATCGTGCATGATCAATTACTTCATATTAGCCGAGAATGACAGATTCTTCCACTTTTAGGCACTCGTAATTGGTAATTTCATTTAATTGTAATAGACAAAATTTTTTAATTTAAGGCATGAATCATTATTACTTTCATATTAGTCAGGAATAACAATATTTTTTCATCTTAAAAATAAATGATCGATACTTCTATTTTAGCCAGAAATGACCAATTTGTCAATCATAGGCATGAATTGTTGATAATTCCGTTTTAGGCATGAAAGATTGTATTTAAATTGAGGAAAGGCGAATTAATGATTGGACTTGTCACTGTTGTACAAATATGTATTATTGATTATTGCTATTCAACAGCGGTTGAATGCAAATATTGAATGTGTAATACCGGAATGACAATAGGATCCGGCTTACAGTGTAATAATATTCAATTGACAACTGCTTGCGTATTTAAATTTTGTTTGTCTACCTTCTCTTTCTTTTTTTCTTCCTTCTTTCTTTTTTTCTTTTCCTATGAATTTTATTTCTTTAATATTATTATTATTAGTTGGGTAAGTAATGATGAAGTTAACATACAAAATTAACATAGTATGAAATTCGACTAATATACTATCAAATAGATTAGAATAACCTGAAATGAACTAATTTAGTATGAAATTAATTAACGTAACTTCTTCATAAACTGTTAATATGGCATGAAGTAGATTAACGTAATGTCAAATAAAGCAACGTAGCGTGAAATAGAGTAACATAACGTGAAATAGAGTAATGTAATGCGAAAACAAAGTAACGTAACGTGAAAAAGAGTAATATAGCGTGTAATCGAGTAACATAGCATGAAATAGAGTAATGTAATGTGAAACATAATGTGAAAAAGAGTAACATAGCGCGAAATAGAGTAGCATAATGTGAAATAAAGTAGCATAGCGCGAAATAAATTAATTTGTGGTAGTAAAACTATTAATGAAATATAATTAAAATAAAGAAATGATTGAATTTCTGATGCAAATTTTGAAATTTTTTTAAATTTTAAAAAAAGAAATTTTAAAATTTCTAATCTAAATTTTATCGTTACTATTATAAAATTACACAATCGTTTAATACCAATTTTTTTTCCTAACTATTATTTATGAAAATTAGTTTATTCATTTTGTATTCCATAATTTACTAAATTTTAATTAACAAAAAAATAATAATAATTAAAATCGACAATGAGAACTTGTTTGATGGATATGATTAGTAGTCACATGTCATTTGTCACTTACATCAATTACTATTGCCAAAATGTTGCAACAACAACAAATCACTGATAATAGAAGAGAATGTGAGAGGAATTTTTTTATTGACCGATTGATATTTCAAGTTAATCTGATTTTCATTGAATTTCTATTAACATTAAATTGCAATTTTTATTCTCCCTAAAAAATAAATTATTTTATGTGATATAAAGGATTACGCATATAATTAAACTTTTATATTTTATAATTGAATACTTTATGATTTCACTTTTTCCTCGTTACTTTAACTTTTAGGAGCAGGTAAATTGGCAAAGATTCAAATAGTAACCTTAGCTACCTGTAAAGATATTTTATTTTCTTCGCTTGCATTTTATTTTTTCTTAATTTTAAGCGATTAAATTTTACTTACATAAAATAGTGAAATTGCTGTATGAATAAATATTTAATATACAAAGATAACAATTTATTGCGATTACTCTTTTTTTTTACCTAAGTTTTAATTCGCAAAACATTCCATGATTTAACTTGATTAATCGTAATTTTCCTTTCCGTAATTTGTTCGCAAAACATTCCATGATTTAACTTGATTAACCGTAATTTTTGTTTCCATTACTTGTTCCAAATAATCATTAATTCTTATTATGATTTCTCCTCATCAACTGATCTGTTATCTTTCCGTTATCTTTCCTCCCGTTATCTTTGATTAATTATCATTTTCTTTCCGTAATTTATTTTGATTGATTATTATTTTCCTACTGCTAATTTAGCATAAATTACAAAAAAAAAGAGAAATTAATTATTTACTGAAAAAGAGCGGTAAACAAAAAAAAGAAATTAAAGCATAAATTAAAACGAACAATAAATTTATTTTTTAATTTTTTTTTTAATTAATTAATTAATTTTTAATTTTTTAATTTTTTTAATTTTTTTAATTTAATTTTTTTAATTTTTTTTAAATTTTTTAAGCATTAATTTTTTTAATTACATTTGAATATGAGAATTATTTTTTTTGTTGCAATAATTATCAGTAAATTTAATCATTAATACTTAACTCATTCTTTTCCTATTCAATTTTACCTGTCGTTTATTCATCACAAATTTTCTATACCATAAATTATTTGAGTGAATAGAAAACGAAAGATAAATGTTTTCCTACAAATAGAAAATTTAAAAATAAAAAATGGTTAAAAGATATATTATTACATTTCCAATATTAAGTCTTTGCCCTTCTACCTTTTTTGAATAAACAGAAAAATTTTATGAATTTAACTTTTCGACTTACAATTAATTAATACTTTTATCTCAAAGAATTTTCTATTAAATAAACGAGGATTCAATGAGATTTGTAATGATCGAAAGAATTATTTTAAATTTGAATAATTTCAAATTCTAATTCTTTTTTGGTACAATTAAATAATACATGAAAATGAATGCCAATTTCTTTTTTAGTATTTTAAAAAATTATAACTCAAATTGAGTAAGCCACATAAAATTTAGGCTACCTTAGCATTAATCTAATTTTGCCAAGTAATATGAAATTTAGGCTACCTCAACATTAGTCTAATTTTGACAAGTAATAATCTCTAGTTTATTTATCGCTTAAAAATACTACTAATAAAATGATGACTGATTGAAATGCCGAATACTGTTTGAGAGAATTCCTTTTTACAATTAAATAATTAAATTAATTAATAGCGATTTAAAATATGGACTGTAAAGAATTAAATTAAAAACAGATCACTTAACTATTTACATGTTACACGATAATTAAATTAATTGTTTCAAATTTTAGTGTCGTTAATTTTTACGCTGTTGAAAATGTTTGAAGAAAAAGAACCAGGAAAACCGAAAAATTGGAGCTATACTGTTACGATTATTGCATTGGTATGGTATTTTTTTTCATTTTGTTCTGTCTTTTATCAATTATATACTTATATCATTTGCATGAATGATAAGCAGTGATAAGGAGTGATAAGTAAACAAGAAATAGAACACATGGATTTTAAATGTAAGAAATTTTTCAAAACATAAAGCCATTCTTCAGATTATTTTTACAGTGAACGAAAAGCGCAAAAATAGTGATAGATTGATAATAAATGAGTGATAACAAAAATTCGTAAAAATGAAATGTAATTTGTAATTTGCATATAATTAATATTTTGATATCAAATATTGATTGATGATTTTAAAATGCTATTGCAAAATGCTTTATTAATTTTAAAATGACAGCTTCAAATAAAAGCTTCAAGTTATTTTATCAATTAAATACTAAATTTTTATAACTAAAAAATTAAATCTCTTAATTTAATTATTTCAACAATTTTGGCAAACAATTTTTGAACTGAAACAATTTCAGTTATAATTTATTCGAAAAGAAGAATTTGCAAATACAATTTTCATATGTACTAGAAGATGTAAATTTAATTTTTGTATATTTTTAAATTTCAAATATTTTTTTCTTTAAGATAATATTTCTGAATATAACAATAATTATTGTTTGTCGAATATGGCTTGATTCACAAGATGAAAATCATAATTATTGGTTGCAAGGTAAATCTTTTTATTGATATTCATACCAGATTTTTCTATTATTACTACCTCCTAATTACAGTGTAAAATTTTTTGCAAATTGAATATTTAATTTAAATTTGAATTTTCTTGAAACTTTCAACTTTTTTTTGTTTCGAAAGTTTTTTACGTATTTAACTATTTTATCAATTTTATACTTTATCAATTTATTTTATAGTATACTTTATAAATTAATGAAAAATGACAACTGCAAGGTAAAGTAAATTTTGTTTACATTTAAATTTGAAATTTATAAATTCAAAAAATTTTTAATTAATAACGTATATACTAAATTTTAGGTAAGTCACGAGAAAATTTAACATTTTTCCTCAGTGTTTTTGCTACATCTTTTTTCTTTTATTGTTGTTGTTGTTTTTGTTGTGGCGGATCACTTTGTCGGTATGATTTTATTTCGGAGCTTTTTAAACTTAATTATTAATTGATGGCATTAGTTCAGATGATTTCAATAATTTGATTTGCTTATAAAGTAATTATTAATTAACAATATTAATTGAATTTTAGGGCAATTTAATTGTATTTAAACTCAATTAGCATTAATTAATATTAGTTTAATTACTTGGGTAATTTAATTCTGTTTAAATCATCAGTTCGTATTATTAGCTGCTATCTAATCATGCATCATTATTGTTATAATAATTCGGAAATCATATCTTCAATTTTAGATGGATTGCTAATTGGTATCACAAATATTTCGATCTATCCAAATTATTGTCAACCACAGTTAAAACAGATGAAAAATCTCCAATAAGTCACAATAAACAAAGTATGAAAGCCGTAAATCAAACTTTTCATATTTACCATTTCGTTGTATTTTAAACTTCAATCAAATCGAATAATTAAATTTTTAAAAAAGTTAAAAAAGAATTTGAAAAGATGAAATATCGAAAGCAATGTAATATTTTGTTTCTTTAATTCATCCATTAACTTTTCATTAAATATGATATATTTTAAAATGAAAAACAACACTGAATTGTTAATATTAAATATATATTATGTAATTTCATTTCAAATTTTTGCTAATCGTTTATAATATTTGATATAATTGCAGAAGATCTCTTCTTTATCTCCAATGTTTCCAATAATAACGATGATACGGTAGTCGATGTAGCAAATAACAAAAAGGTTGAAATCTTTTCTTTTTTTTAATATCTATTAATTAATTGGAAAAGTAATTTTTTAGTTTACACGACTATGCATAGTACATGTAGGAAATGAATTAATTAAAATTAAATGTAAGAAATGAACTAATTAAAATTAGATGTGAGAAATGAATTAATTAAATTAAATGTAAAAATTGAAAGATAATTTTTGACTGATTTATATTTGTCGGTGAAGTAGTGAAAGAAGAAAGGTTACTGAAATGTAGAAAAATAATGATTAAATAATATTTAGCATAATCGTTAGTCAATCCAATTGTATTAAAATGTTGAAAGAAAGTTAAAAAATTAGAATTATTATTATTAATTAAATGAATGAATTAATCTATCATATTGCATGAAGTAAACCAAATAATTTTATATCCAATTTTTAGTAAAGATATAATTTCGAAGATAACTTCTTATCAGCTTATTAATTTAATTAATTGAATTCATAAATGATTTACGCTTAAACTCAAAAAAACAAATGAATCGATTATCGTTTGTTAATTTTCAGCCTTATGCATATGCTAATGATGCATTTGTGAATTCATCCAAACATCGATCACTTCGTAAAAATTCGAAAAGTATTTTAACGCTATATAAGGAAGAATTGACCGATTATTCAAAGTTCAAATGTCAAAGCAAACGCAGAAACAGTTTTTAAATAAATTATTTTAGTAATAGCATTAATTATGCAAATTGTCTTTTTATCCTTTAGCAAATACAATTACTCTTTTTTTCTTCAATTTGCACTACACTTTTCCTTCAGCTAATATAACGCAAAAGAAAACGATTAATAAATATTTTGAAATTTTGGGTAAATTATTAATAACATATATTAATAACGTATCACATATGTGTGGGTGTTATTGGTGCATGGGTTTTATGTGGGCGTTCTGATTTATGGGTGTAAGTGTAAATGGAATGCGTAGGTGTAGGTGTGTATGGCGTTCTGATGTATAGATGTAGGCGTAGACGGATATATCGATGCGTATGTGTAGGCGTAGATGGGATTTTCGATGCGTAAGTGCAGGTGTATATGGCGTTCTGATGTATAGATGTAGGCGTAGGCGGGTATACCGATGCGTGTGTGTAAAGATAAGTGTACGTGTGTGGGCGTGTTGTGTTTTTGGGTATTAGTGGAGTATTGATTGAAGTAATATGAATGAATAATTCCTTCCAATGTTTCTGTTTGTTTTCTATCATTTTTCCTTTTTCATATGACATCATTTGTGTTACTATTTGAAAATCGATATGGCTACCGAAGTTTTATATTCGTCATGTTAGGTACAAATCATACGGTGTATGAATTATACTAACATAGGAGAAGATCTGTAACATATGCCTTAAAAATGAAATAATAATGCTTAACGGTATCTAATATTATCTTATCATTCGTTATCAGTGTATGAGCGATATATAACTCTGAAATAATGCTAAATTCATGTTCTAAAATAAATTAATTATTTATTTGCAATTTAAAAAATTTGATAAGCTTTGTTTCTTTCTAAATTCCTTTCGTATGAATAAGAAACAAAAAAAATTACACCTGAAAAGGTATAAATAATTTTTTGTAGCAAAAATAGAAATGTAAAATTAATGGGAGATTGAAATGATTAAAAAGTTAATTGTAATTATTCTTCAAATATTAATCATCATTAATTTCATATTTTATTTATGGCATTTAATTAATGTAATTTTATTTGTTGCAATCTGAAATTAGCTAATTCTATGCTTCATGTTAGCTTAATTGTAATTATTCTTCAAATATATATCAGCTTAATTGTGGTTCTTCTTCAATATATATTACTTTTTTCAGGCTATATCAGATTTTGAAAAAGATTATGTGAAAAATTCGAATTTACTATACTATTAAATGTTGCAACAAATTGGTATCAAATAGTATAGTGATGATAACTATATGTATGATAATGATTGATTAAAATTATTGACAAGATGTCGAGCTTATAATTTATTCATTTAGCCTGAAAACCATAAATCATAAATATGCAAATTTAAACGATTAAATTTGTAATAACAAAATGGTTATTAACAGATTGGAAAATAATCTGAAATATTATTAAATTTCCTCAAAATTCTGCAACTGTATGAAAATATTTCAACGAAAAAAGAATTTGAAAATTTTAAAAATAATTTAATTTTAATAAAATAAATAAACGAAAAGCTTATTGCAAGCAAAAATTGATTAACTGAATAATATAGCAATCATTGATATGATAAGAAATAATTGCTGAAATTATCAGTGATAAGAGTGCAAAAAGCATAAATTTTTAGTAAATGAAGTAACAAAAATTTATGATATAGTTTATGCAATATATTTTATTCATTATCACATATTAGTACAATAATTAATAATACAGTATACAAGCTATATTTTAAATTTTAATTATAACATATCAAAAACATTAATTGGCATGATAGCTTATCATTTGAACATTGGCTATAAATAAAAACAATACTTTTCAATTATCATTATGATATTGAGAAAAAGGAATTAATTTTCTACAAAAATTATAATAAATTAAGTAAAATTAAGAAAAATTTAATTGGGAATTTTTTCTTCTTATGTAATTAATTAATGAATTTAAAATATGCTAAAAATATTAATTGCATTGTTTCTATTACCTTTTTCATTATCAATGAAAGTTAAAAATTGGAAAAGATTAACGGAATGTTAGAAATCTTAATAATGATACGTTTATTATATGTTTCAACGGTTTAAAATAGTTAAGTCGAAGAGAGAGAAAAAGATTAGAATTAAAATTTGTTAATTAAATATATTAAATTAATTGAAGAAAAATGGGATTTTTAGGAATAGATCACATATCATTCGTTATTATTATTATTGTTATTGTTATTATTAAGTTGTTATTATTATTATCATTATTATTAATATTATTATTGTTATTATTAAATTATTATTAATTATTATTATTATTATTATTATCATTATTATCATCATTTTTATTGTCATAAAATTTCAACAGCAATTACAGAATAAAAATAATGATAATAGCAATGAAATAACTAATAATAACGATAAGAGCAACAATTATAGCAATAATGGTAACATTAATTGGAGGAATAAAAATTTGAAGAAAGTTTTATTAAAAAAAGAGCATGGAAAACTTTTTTCTAGAGAAAGAAAGAAATTAAAATGAAAATTATGATAAGAAGATCATATATTTTGAGTTATTTGAAAAGCTTTAGTTATTATGAAAATTTACATATTATTTATAATAAATATATATATATGTATAATGGATCAGAACCGGAAAGCTTAGATGATCACTAAGCAATCCGAATATTGTTTGTCAGCTTTTCGATCGTAGTTTCATTTCGGTTTCTCGTGGTTTGATATAGTAATTAATAAATGGACGTATACCATTACCATAAAACCAAAACATATTTCGCATTTTTGATGTTCGATCACCATATCGTCCATTTAATGCGACATAACCGCAATCATTATGCCACCAACCCCTATAATAATGATAACTTATAGTATCTTCCAAAGATATATCAATAAATATTTTCAATACAATTACATATCGATTATGAATAGCTACGAATGTCTTAGTCTATCTATAAAATTTAAAATGCAATATTATTCAAAGTTGTCCCGAAAAATTATCAAGAAATGATTCCAGCATAATTGTACCCCGGATATAGATAATTGAGAAATTATTGAAAATCATTGAAATTTAAATTTGTCATCAAATAAGATTTAAATTTTAAATCAGTGAAATTTAAATTTGTCACCACAATCTTTCAGTCTTTTATTTTTTAATTTATTAAGTATGTATTAGAAGAATTAATTGAAGTTACTGATAAATGCTTCCTAAAGGAAAAAATAAATTAATTAACTTTATCAGTCAATTACGATCAAAATAGCTAATTGATTTAAAGTGATAGCTCAATAATTTCCTACTGATAAAAAATGATAAGCAAATCAATGCTAACCCAAAATCACGAAATTGCGCACAATTACCCTGAAATTTATCATTATCCTGATCAATAGTTGTGAATGATTTCCCGTTATTCATATAATGAAATCGATCAACAGATGTACGTTCAGAAAGATTACCAGCTTGAGCGGTTGATATCGAAAGAGTATATTTCTGCGATTCATTACCAATCTAAAATGATAAACGAATTGATTTCCTTATCAGAAAAGAACCAGCCATTTTAAAATTTTATTCTTACATTTTATTATTGTTTTCTTTTAACTAAAGAAAAATGAAGGAAAAAATTAAAATATTAAATGTATAAATTAGTAATATCAAAATTAAATCATTCAACAAAAAAATTATTTATTATTAATTTCCTTTTAGTTTTTCATTAAATTTTAATAAAAATAAAATTATACCTAGAAATTAATTCACTTACATTAAAATCCCATTCACCCCACCAATAACCATTCGGTTGTTTTGAGCAACGGTTATTATCTTCACATAAATCACCTCGTAATTCAATCCGTAATGTTACCGGATTTCCATTGTCTTTTGCCGCTAATGCATGTATCTGAAAATAATTCATCTAATTTTTATAAATCATTTTAATATAACTTTAATTTAAATTTAAAACGTAAAACGATATTGACGAATATTTTACTATTTGACGAAATGAAATGAATATTATTACAAAATGGTTAAATAAATCGAAGTTTAAATAATTCTAATATATTAAATAACGCATTCTACGTGACATATTACGTTATCAACAAAATTAACTTTAAAATACTAAATCATCAAAAAACGTGACATATTACGTTTATCAACAAAATTACACTTTCGTTGAATAAAACTACAAACTAAATATCTCATTGTTAAAACATAATAAAGTTTTGCAGCTTAATGAATAGATTAAGTAAAAATTAAGAATAAGTTAAAATTAAGCATACCTTATTTAAATTAAATTAAAATGAATTTTTTCTCTTCCATTAAATAGGCCAAAATAAAATTAAACCTTATCTAAGCCAAGCCAAAATGAGCTTGTCAATTCACCAAAACCATTCTTATATTCATTCCATGTACGATTTGCAAAATATATTTGACCATCTTTTCTTCTAAAATTATTATTCTTCATCATAATTTGCGCAAAAAGCAGTTTAAAAATAATCTGAAAAAATTTTCCTTCCTTTTTTAATTTTTTAAATTAATTTTATTAATTGGTAGGTCAATTTTTTTGTTTTGATATTAATTAGATGCTTACTTCTGTATTACCGTCCAACCGCCATCACTTGTTTGCATATCACAGAGAACATTAAATTTGCCAATTTTTGGGAGGAAAATTTGATAAATTCCATTTTCATTATTACCTTGATCATGTAATGCTTTGCAATCCTGTAAATTGGAATATCGAAAGAAATATTAATTATATATTGGAAATGAAATAGGAAATGAATTGTTAACTTTTGAACTAAATAGCAAATGAACTATTAACTTTTCTTTATTAAAATATCATTTAAATAAAGAAAATCTCTTTCATCGTTTTTCTTAACTTAAAATCTATTATTATTTTAGGATAATAATTTTCAAATGATTTCATAGTCGTATGTTTAATTTTGGATTAATTTTGGGCATGAAAGACATGAAAAAGGTAAATATTAAATTAATTATTGATTGTCCGGAATTGGTTTTCTCTTTAACTTATCATGTTTATCAATTCTTATCCATTAATCTTTTTTTTTACTTAAACATATTTCAAGTTATTATCATATTCAATGAGATGTATTGATTAATTTCCTACATTTCTAATTTATCATATCAAATTTTATCCGTTGAATTTTCATTAATATTATCAAATTTCATTTTCCAAAATTATCTATTAACTTATCACCTCTCTTATATAATCTTTAAACATTCAACAGCAAACCTCAATTTTGTTATCATCATTATCACTATCATCATCATTACCATCGTTATCAATAAATAATGGTAGAATAGTCGATATTTGCTTATCTGTCCCAGTTAAAGGTAATGTAACAATATCACTCGTAGGCTGTATCAAAATATGGGAAGTATTCATGGTATGCGCTAGAGTTGATACAGTAGTTATTATTGCAGCTGTTGTTGTAGCTATAGATGATATATCAAGTAATGAAGTAACGATATCTGTTGGATTTTCCTGCAAAAAGAAAATTTAAAAAAAGTTGAAAAAATTCAAATAATCAATATAAATCAATAAAAGAAGCAAAAATTTGAATTTCTAAAATTAAAATTGAATAAACTAATAAATAAAAATGGATATGACAAGGTGATATATAGTAAAAAAATTGAATAATTATACATTAATTTAAAAATTAATAAAAATTATTTTGAATATGAATTTGAATCGATCAATATATCATTAATTGTATAATTATTCAATTTCATTTATTATAACATATGTATTTATAACGTCATCAACATATATATTTATAACATCACATATATAATATCATTTACTATAACATATATATTCAATTCCTTTTCAGATTTAATCTTCCAAAAAATTTCTAATTCTAATTTATTATAATTTATTAAGTTTTTTATTTCCTATTAATTATAATAGGTTTTTTTTGCTTATTATATCAATTTATATTTCGATTTGTTAAATTGATTGATTGATTAGTAACGGTAATTAATAAAACAAAATATAATATATGCTTATTTTTCTTCCATTTATCAATTTCAAATAATTTCATAATTTTTTTATTTTATTAATTACTATTACTAATCAATTTAATTACTGTTACTAATTATTGTCATCACCTACGCTGAATGCATCGTCAACAATTTCAACAACTTTTGGCAGCGATTTCTCTTATTTTTTAATTTATTGATGACACCTATTTTATTCGTACAAACTTCAATGAATGAATTATTTTTTAGTAATCTTTTTCTTTTTATTTCACTAATTAAAGAAAATGAAAAGCTATCAATGAATCATTATCACCTACGCTGAATGCATCATCACCAATTTCAACAACTTTTGGCAATAATGTCTCAATTGTTGTCATCGAAGAATCATTTGCCGTTACCTATAAATAAATATAACGTTTGTAAAAGCTTATCATCCATATTGAATTAACTTCCACATATGAATTTGTTTATCGTATGATAATAGCTAAGCTAACTTTTATTTAATTTATTTTTTCAAAATAAACAAAAAAGTTTCAAATTCTTATAAATCTTCCATTTCCACTTTATTTTTATTTCGAATTTAAGGTTAATTAAAGGTTAATTAAATTAATTAGAGAAAAACGATGGATAGATTTTTTCTTGTTATAGCATTACCTCTGATAATTTTGATGTAGCAATAAGAGAATGAGAAGTTCCCGGATTTACTTCATTCGTTTTCGGAACTGTTCCTTTCGATGATGTCCGGAATAATAGAAAGAAGAGTAAAACGGAAAGTAGAATTAATATAGCAATGAAAACGAAAAGAATCAATAGATTACGTCGAGTTCTAAAAATGGAGAAAAGATGTGAGAAATATAATTCAATCAAATTTATAGATTTAATTTAAAACTTAATTTATAGATTTAATTTAGAGCTAATTAATCAAAGTTTTAATTTTTCCTAATTATATAAAAAATTTCAAAAATAAAAGGAAAAGTTACCTTCGTGAAAATAATGCTTTCTTCATACGAATTTCTGCAGCAATACATGGATCAAGTTCAGTTTCATTAATTTTTGCATCTTGATTATTGTATTCTCTCATTATTGATGTTGTTGTTGTTGTTGTTGTGCTAATTGTCGTCAAATAAATGTATGTGAAAAGAAGCGTAAACAAAGATAAGTAAGCGTAAAAAATGATAAATGAATCATCGAATTATGGAATATTCACTAAAATATAAAAATTGATAAAATTATTGGAAATGAATAATATAGAATTAATAAATAAATAATACAATATCGATTATTATAAGTACATTTTTAATATCTGCCAAATTACAAAAATTATTTTAGAATATTTTCTTAATTTCATTTTAATTTTTTTCTTTCAAGAAATACAAAATTCAAAAATATCGATGATAGGATCATGTGATCACATTGAAATAATAATGTTGAAATATTTGCTGGAATTACAACTTTTATTTCGATCCAATAGATTATTGAATGATGCATGTGGCATATTGAAAAGAGAAAATATTAAATGAAAGAATATTATATTATTTATTAAGTATTCGAGTAATAATTAATTCTCATATAGTTTGCAAATAATTTTGACTATGCAATATTTACCGATAATTTGTAAAAATATCTTCTGATACATCGATTGTACTTTACCATTTTGTTACGGTAGAGAGGAGAAAAGAAACGAAAACTGATTATAAAAAATTAAATACAGAAATTTTAAATTTAAATTAATTTTTAAGATTGAATTAAAATTAGTATAAAATATGTAATTCAAAGATTTTTGATTTCCATTATTAGAAAAGAAATGACTGTTCGAAATTGTTGCAATTTTCAATTACATTAGTATTTTAGATCATAAATACGATTCAGTAGAGGAGCAAAGTTCACTACTGGAAACAATGATAAAAGGAGATTTACAACTTAAACGGTAAACATCAAAGAATTCAACTTCTAATTTACAGTCATAAATTAAAGCTTAAGCATATACACATATTTCGATGCTTAAAACAAATCTGACTATGATTAATTAATTATATTAATTTTTTGGATCGGAAAATTTCACATAAGCGAAACTTCAGATTTGAAAATATTTTCGCCTTTTTTCAAAAACTTTAAAATTGCAAAAAAAATTTAAACAATATTTAATTCACAAATGAAATCAAACCATAATGGATTGAAATAAAAATTAAATTTAAATTGAATTATTGAAGGAATTAAAAAAGGTTACCAAAAATGGAATTAAAATTAGTTCACAATTATTTCATTTCCATTCGATCAAATTATTATATGTAAAATAAATTGGAGAAATGTTTAGAAATTATTGAAGAATTTTCCGTTTGTTAAATTGTTTGCAAATTATAAATAGCAAATAAACAATTAAATTTAAATATAAAACAATAAAAAAATATTTTTCGAATACATTAAAATGTTAATGCAATTAAATAAAATTATTCAATTCTAATTATTCATTGCAATTTAATTACTTGTTAGATATTATTTTTATGTAAATATGATTTAGTAATAAATAATTAAATATTTAAAAAGGAAGAAAGGAATGAAATGAAATAGGTATAAGCAAATGAACGAACTTTTTTACATACTTATAACTGACAGCTTAAATACTGTCATTAAAATAATATAATTAAACACGGATGAAAAAGAAGAATGCATCCTTGTCTTTTCTGTTTTCAAGAGTTTTAATATTAGGAAAAAGTTGGAGAAAAAGTTTAGATAATTTGGTAAAAACAAGTTTTAAACTTTTTATAATATTTTTTTGTTCAATTTAGAATTTAAATCAATTGTTAAAGATGTTGAAATTTTAAGTGAAATTATTTGGAAAGCAAATTTTGCATGAAATTTGATAGAGAATTGATTGAAATATTAGGTCAGCGCGAATATGATAGAATTTGTAAATCATTCATTTTATTGTTAAATAATTTTAATCCATCAATGATTTTTGTTTTAATTAAAAAAAGATTATTTAAAACTTTTTTGAAATATTAATACTTCGATCATTCCGAATTGTTTTAATTTTTTAATTAAAATTTAAAAATTAATTATTAATATTTCAAATAGACAAAGTTAAAAAAATCAACTTGTTAATTGTTAAGGAATGAAATACACCTTGTGATAATATTGTATTCGAGCTACAATAATCGAATTTAAGTAATCGAATTAACTATTGCTTGTTAATTGTTAAGGAATGAAATAAATGTTGTGATAATAATCGAACTACAATAATCGAATTTAAGTAATCGAATTAACCATTGAAGAAAGCTTAATTGTAATATTAGAAAAAATTCGATTCATTAGATCATTAAATTTAAGCACAGCAATTGAAGAATAAGTAATGCTAAATATTCTAATTTATATTTTTACCTATTTACTTCATTGTTTATTTTGTGCTAACATTTCTGATATAAAATTCTGTTCAGAGTAATTAAATTTCTTTTATTAATTTATTTCATTTGTTTTTTAATTGTTTCTATTTTATCAATGATTGAAGTGATTAACTAATTAGAATGAATGAAAATAAACGTTTCAATAATTTTGAAACAAAAAATTTCTGAACTTTAATTTCTATTAGCAGCAATTTATTCAATAATTTTTTAAATTATATTTTCTGCTTTTTACTTTTATTATTTGCAACACACAGACATTCAACGTTTTCAAATATTACATATCAAAATATAATTCGTTGAAAAGTGCCTCTTTCTAATATTCCATAATTTATTATATTTTATGTCACTGAGCTGTCATTTAAGATTTATAAGCTTCCGCTGGGAAGAAAGTAAAATGATGAAAATTATGTTCTCTGAAAAGAGTGAGGAAGATTTCGTTGAAATAAAAATATTGCCATATGATTATTCAAAAAATTTCGAATTTCTTTTCTTTTGGACATTGAAATTTCGAAGTGTAAAGATTTATCCATTTTCTATCAAATAATTATCACCATATAATAGTGATAATTATTTGATAGAAAAGTTTATAAAATTGAATTGCTTTTAACCATTATAATTTCTACTGATTCGCTTAATAATTAATAACAATAATAATAAAAATAATATTAATAATGATAATAATTATAATAATAAGATTGAATAAAGAAATATTAAATTGAAAAATATTTGACATCTTTGCAGGACGTATCATATTTTTCACGCTTATCACAAAAATTTACTAATTTCAAAATTTGAATTTATCGAAATCAATCACTCGTTGATTTGTGATCGTTCTTTTTTTAAACGATAAGTAACTAAGGGTCAAATAGCTAACAATTCTCTTCCAAAGTTTCAGTAATAAGAAATTGAACAAAAAAGAAAATTTTAAAAAACAGTAAAATAAAAATTATTTGATTGTTAGTATTTGTTGGATTCTTTTGTTTTAATAAATTATTTCAAATAAGGTGTAGTTTATTAATAAGAATATTTTCCTATTCTTCAATTATTTCGTTTTATTTTTTTAAAATAATAAATGAAATGATTAAGAATGAGAATTATAAAGCAATAATTATTTATAGTTATCAATTCATTGCATTCATATTCATTATATTCCTTTTTCTATTTTAAATTTCCATTTCCTATAAATCAATATTTACATTAATTTCATATTCATTTTATTGCTATATTCATATTCATTATATTATATTATATTATACTCATTATATTCCATTTTCTATTTTAAATTTCCATTTCCTATATTTCAATATTTATATAAATCAATACAAAGTGGTACATTTCTTTTCCCTTTTTTCTATAGTATAAACGAGTTTGCTGCTAATTAAAGATTTATTGCAGCAATTAAAATATTTTAAAAAATTTTTCAAATATAAAAATAAATGGTAAAGAAAAATCAATAATTGCTATTCTTACACTTAAAAATATTCCCTAAAAAAAAATCAAATAAAATAAGTTATTTTGAGTTATAAGAAAAATTTGAAATGATAAATATGAATAGAAATTAAATTCAAATTATTCGATTTTATTCGATTCGATTATTCGATTTGTATTATTCGGTTATTCGATTCGATTCTTTTTCGTTTTAAATCTTTGCAAAAAACTGATTTTTAATATTTGTGTAAAATTGGATTAATTCTTACAAAATAATCGATAAATAAATTTTATGTGACAATAATTACCGGCGAATTTCTGTAACCCAATTCTTTTATTTACAAATTTTTACCACAATTTGTTAATTTTAGTGAAATGGAATATGTAAATAAAATATGTAATATGTATATATTAGAGTTAATATGAAATTAATAATATATGTAAATTAATTTTAGTGTGTATATGTAAATTATATATATAATAAATATAAATTAATTTTAGTGAAATGGAATATGTAAATAAAATATGTAATATGTATACATTATAGCTAATATGAAATTAAAATTTTTATATTAAAAATGAAAAATGAGAAGAATTTTCAATTTCTTATTAATATTATTATTCATTCTTCTGACCTTATTATGTATATATTATAGTTAATATAATTTGATAATTTTAATGAAATAGAATATGTAAATAAAATATGTAATGTGTATATGTTATAGTTAATATGCAATATATATTAGAGTTAATATGTATGATATTAATTTAAATGAAATGGAATATATAAAGAAAATATGTAATATTTATATATTATAGTTAATTATGAAACTAAAATTTTTTTATGTTAAAGATGAAAAATGAAATAAACAAAAAATTTGGAAAGTTTTAGGAAAAGAATTTTTAATTTTTTGTTGAAATTATTTTTTATTCTTTTGACCTTTAACATTTCTCTAAAAAAATAAAACGTATTTTAATTGAAATTAATTGTAAAACGTTAATAGAACAATTAAATAAAAAATGAAATTTAAAAAAGAGAAACTGAGATGGGTGGAAGAATTAAATTTCAGTAAGGACAAATAATGAAAATGGTCTTTTAAAAGTTAGATCATTTTCAAATTACACTAAAAAATGCCATTTAGCTCTTTTCTTTTTTCCATCAACGAGTAAATCATTAAAACAATTAAATTTTAAATTTATATTAAATAGCAAAAATGAAATTGACTGACAGATAAAATTGTTCGAATTGAAA